AACTTGCGAGGTGTTCTTTATGTCAATTTTGCAATGAAATAAGTTCCGTGACTTTTTTTAAATTTATTTATTTTTATCAATTTTTAAAACATTAACCTAGGATACTTTCTGAATATACAGTATTTTATTCGTTCACTTTCTTATTTATTTAACTTTTATTATTAATAATACTATTTATTAAGACACTCACAAACCCTACACGGCCCTATGACCCTGTTTACCACGACCATAGGGCCGTGGTAAACAGGGTGGTGGAGTGCCTTGGGGCCGAAGGGTTCGCTTATTAAACCTTCTTTCGACGTGACGCTCTCGGTATATCTTCATCTTTAAGTATTTGAAATTATACAAATTTATTTTAAGATTTCATTATATGGAGTTAACAGAGCCTATAATGGGCCTAAATAGAACCTTTCTCCTTCTCTAGGAACTTTATACGGGTCCTAAAGCCCGTAGAAAGGATACAGCCGCGATTTTCTCTCTCCCTATTGTCTATCCGGTTGATAAATATATTTGAAGCATACAAAACAAAATAAGGTTAACCGAATTTTTGGCCTCTCTTAAAGCTTAAAACGATTAAAGTAGAGAAGTAATAAGCTTAAATAAGATATTAAAATTGTTTTCGATTATATATTCAAATGAGAAATTTATCGGCGAACAATTTTATTTCCGTTTATTAGGGTTTAAAATCAATTACAGGCCTAAATGTCAACAGGATGAAGTCGTTGAATGACAAACAGGACGAATTGGTGGCGATTTTTTTGATAATGTTCTGTATATTATGCGATAGGAAGAATTCTAACAATCGATTTTAATAATTAGAGAATTATATAGAATATAATTCATTTTAACTTTGTAATTACAATATTATTTTCGTTATAAATAAATATATAGAGAAATTATATTTTATAATAAAATTTTATATCTTAATTTAAGTAATAATTGTAATCTTGTCCGGAATATTGTTTTATGTTAAATGCATGGACATTAAAAAAAAAAAAAACAATACGCAGATCAACTGAATAAAGTGGATAAACGCCAAGTGTTTTAATAATAACACAGTCTTGTGTTCAATAGTAAATAAATACGCAGATCTGTTTAGCTTATTTTGTAAACGAAATTTAATTTGGTTATAAAGTAAAATATTTATTAAATATATAAAATAGTTAATGGAAAGTTTATTTTTTCAGTTATAATATTTATCGAACTTATCTGATGGCGAGCTCCAAAGGAGAATTTAAGAATTATGTAAGCATTTGATAGGAAGGTGTTACAAGAGTACCAATCCAGCTTTAGAACCAATTAGTTCTTTTGATAACGTACAGATTCGTACAAGTGTTACGTTTCCAGTTAAAAGTAAATGCGAAATTTATATGAATAATAAAATTAATACTATAATAAATGTTCTATTTTGAGTAGAATAGATTTATTTTCCTTGTAGTAAACAAATACAGTAGAGCGTCGTTTATCCGAAAGTCGGTTATCCGAAAGAATTCCAGTCGGCCTAAAGTATAATTTTTATTTGTTTTTATATTTTTCAATGTATTTATTTCGTTTGTAAAACATAAAGAAATCATTTTTAACGATACAATAGCCACGATTATTATTTTAAAAAGTTTACGTTAAGCTTAACATCGACGAAAATTCAACGCGAAGCGACACGCAACGGAGAAAAATTTCAGCACGGGATAGGTTATGGCTTTCAGGGAGGTTGTACTCATATTTGTGACTAGCTCAAACCCATATCATCTCTCATTTATACAGATACAAAAGTTTTCAGTTTGTATTTTATGTTTATGCTTATAATGTGTTACCTTCTAACAAAATCAAGTAATACAATGGAACAATTAGGTTCATAAATTGTACTTTTTTTCTATTGTACCTGCTTTAATGTCAATTTGAATTATCTATTATTGATTAACAAAATTGAAATGCTATAAAAGTTAATTTATTACTAGTGTACTGTACAGTACACAGAGTTTAATTAATTAAATGAAAAATATGTTAGTAAGGAGTTTATAATACAGCAATAATTTTAAATATACCTCAGTCCCATTGTTACAGGCTTCTAGAGTGTTGTAAGATAGCCAATAATTTAACATTTGGATAGTCTATTAGGTATCACACACAGAGTAAAATAAGCCACTTAGGGTGCTGCAAAGTTGAAAACCAAAAGAGATACATGTCATCATGCTTTAAATTAAGATAGAAGGCTCCATTATGGCCCAATAAGTTTGATCTATTATATTATTTACACCAATTCAAATTTTTTTCTCCAATGAGTAAGCTATTACTTAGAGTCTGGTCAAAGTAATAGTCAAAACTTAATGGGCCATAATAGATTCCCCAATTTAATATATAAACGATGCTTAGAATAAGTTAGAAAATAAGAAAAAATAAATTACTAATGCATGGCTTATTACGTATAATATTACATTTTAAGATTCTTACCCTGTTAAGGCATTTATTTTGGTTAAAAACAATATAATTCGCTTAGAAATTTCTTTCATTTCGTGCATATAAAAGTCAATAATGAGCTGATCAAAGCAGAATATCGCATTCCTACAGATATTGTTCAGAAAGCGAGGCCGTTTCCTTCTATCTCACACGTTATTTTCCTTCTCATTTTATTTATTCAGTCTTCCCAATGAAACTTATTTCCAATAGAAAAATAAATAAACGTGTGCAATTGATAAAACCTGACGTGTTTTCTTTTCAAAAATTAAAACGCACGTGGATTTCTATTATTCAAACTAGCATCCACTTAAAGTTAACAATTCCAATTTTGCTATTTTATTATATTTGATTTTTTTAAAGCATTTTCTTATTCTTATCATCATTTATTATTAATTATATTTATTT